GTTGGCTGCAACTCTCGGGTCATATTGCCAAGTTCCCTGCCTTCAAGTTCGCCACATCTGGTGTGCATTATTTTTCGCATTTTTTCATTCTGGCAAGATGAATTCTCTTGGGATAATGAACACAGGAGATATACGATATAATACTTCACACAAAAGTATACCAGGTACAATTAACAATAAAATAATAACAATATATATAATATACCCACTGTTTTAAGTTACTCAAATACAATATATAGACGCCTTTTCATAATTCAAGTGGTTTTGTGTGTGAATTCCTTATACAGTTCGTTGTCCCTCATTTGGACTATTCTGTCACAAATTTTCTGAATTAAATCATGCACAGTTCTAAGCTGCCAAATCCCCACGTTAAGGACGTCGCAATTCGTTTGATATACCAGATCAGAGATTTACAAAGTGTAGTCCGCGGACCACCACTGATTCGCGAGCTTCATTAAGGTGGTCCTCGGAACAGCTGAAATTACGAAAGAATTATGACTTGAAATTAATAAAAAGATTTCTGTCTTCTGGGTTGTTGCGCTGCGTAGTCTGAATCTCCCTGATGACGGAGGCAGTATGACCTCCGAAACGCTGGTAAACACCTAGCATTTTCATACGCGCTATCGCGAGAACTTCAATCTGCGTTCTTGACAGACGAAGTTAACAGTGGCTTGCGTTGTGTTCTGCAGGTTGCTTGGTTTCCGGCGCGCGATGCCAGTGACTGGCCGAGTCCTCAACATGACCACCGAACTGTACGCCCTCGCGGACGGAGAGCTCCTCAAGACATTCTTCGTGTCGCCGTCCAACAACCTGTGTTTCCACGGCAAGTGCTCCTACTACTGCGACACTGCGCATGCTATCTGCGGCAACCCCGACATTCTTGAGGGCTCGTTCGCAGCGTTCCTGCCGGACAAGGAAATGGCTCCACGAAAGGTCTGGAGACATCCCTGGAGGAGGTCATACCACAAACGACGGAAGGCTCAGTGGGAACAAGGTACGCGGCAAAGTGGTAGAAGGTGACTGTGACCTTGATCCGATTCCCACGTACTTCACAGTTCGTGTTGTCTATCTCTCTCTCTCTCTATCTCTCTCTCCATTTAGGAGAGTAATTTACAGGCGGGAGGTTACGTAGATGGCAGAGGCATTACCCGTCTCTTACGAAACCAGAAGATTCATTACCGTGTTCATAAAGTCCGTCATTTATTTTACCTTAAGCTACCTGAATTGAACATTCTCACAACCTGTTTCTTAAAAGACTTATTTTAATATCATCTTTCCATCTACTGCCAGTTTCTTTAAAATATTACTTTTACTTCGGGCTTTCCGGACCAATTTTTTTGTATGAATCTCATAATCTTTAAAATTCGATTATCATATTAATATTATTATCTGTTGAAGAATACAAATTACGCAACTCCTAATTTTGTAGTTTTCTTAACGTAGTCAAGAAGAGCGAAATAGTACTTGAAAGAATACGGAATTATATTTGTCCAAATCATGCGTCTATTGGTCCATTTCCCGGACGATTTCGACTTTTATCTGATACGGAGTCCGTACCTGTTAGAAAACTCTTGCTCCAAACCAGCAGTGACTTTTGCAGTAACCTTCGAATAACAGACCTCTACACAGCGTTTAAAACCTATAAACGGAAAATCTACTGGTAATTTCTGTCTTACAGATGGACAGATCTTGGTACCACAATGTATTTATCGCTGTTTTATCATTTCACATTAAACTGCGTCAGTCTCTCTGACACTTATTTTCCGTCTTCTTAATTCATAATTCTTCGTGCCGGAGGACTCCGTGTAAGGACATAAAGATGGTACCGTAACAGTGCCTGCTTTGTTCTACAACAATTCTGAGATGAATCTACAGGTCTAGTGTAAGAAGTTTGGGGCGTAGCCCCCTTATCTTTAAGCATAAGGAGAGACAGAAATCAGCAAAGGCCCACAATTCTGCTGCAGCCAAGTACAGTCTGTCTAGTTATGGTTACAGCAGGTAGATTCTAAATAAAACAACGATAAGGTTAAAAGTTAGTACAAGTCTTCATGGTATTAAAGTTACAGGCTAGCAGTAAACGTAGATATTCTAGGGCGTGTAGAAGTTGATGAGAAAAAGAGACGTACCATAGAAGCTACAATGTCGAGAATCATAATGGCGGAATAACACACAGAGAGCAAATTCCCAGTCTGAGTATTTGATATGACAATATTCTAGTACCTCGCGTTGTGGCACTTAGCTTCGCCATATTTAATTATACTCACACGCGTAAATGGACACCAATGTTACATAGTCACGACATCTTAAAATATAATTTTCGGACATTGGAAAGCGCGTTACCAAATACCTGCTCTAAAACGACGTCATTTAACACTCATAGAACTGTGACGTTGTGTCTGTTGTACTTCGTCGTGTTTATTTTATTTATTTATTAACTTTTATTTTAATAATATTTGAAGCTTGTGAAATGATGATGTGTGTTCCAAATATCTTCATGAAGAAGAATTCTCCTTGAGAAGCTGATAGTCTCTAAGCTATTCAATAAATTCCACAGAATGGTTCATTATTATGGTCTAAAGATCCCGCCACTGGTCCCTATCCTAAGCCATTCGAATTCAGCCAACATCTTGAAACCATATTTATTTCAAATTCGTTTTAATGTTATATCATTCTACACGCTTAGGTTACCCAAGTTTGTTCTTTATTTTAGATTTTCCAATAGAAATGTTGTACAAATTTCTCATCCCTGTCATGTGTGATACATACCCCGTCATCTCCATCCTCCTTAATTTTATCACGTTAATATTTTGGGAATCGTTCAAATTACGACGAGCCGCCTCGTTTTGTATTTGTCACCCTGGCATTTATTTATTTATCTTTGGCCCGAACATTCTGCCTTCAGCACCCTGTCTTAAAATATCCTTTAGCTGTGTTTCTCTCGAAGAACACAAAACATTAATTTTTATTTTAATTTGTACCAATTTATAAAGGACGCGAGAAGATAAAGAACAGGCAGAAATCAAACTTCCACTTAAGAAACAATGAATACTGTTTCGTTGCAATTAAACTTGACTGTATTATAGAAAAATTAATTTGTCTTTGTTTCGATTACCGGAAGGTAAAAAGGTGCACCTACCTACCATCGAACTGTGGGTTAGGCCTTCGGGAAGCTGGATAATGTATTCAATACGAACCGGATGGCACTCAAGAGAGGAAAACTGTAATCAAAACTTCCTCCTACTTTTGTTAGCTCAGAAAGAGAGAGAGAGAGAGAGATGAGACAATCCAACGGACACTTCTTGCTTTTCGTAAAACAATTTTGGTTTATGTCTCCTTTGTCTTCCCGTCTGCTATCCAGAATTTAGATTAAAATATTTAAAGCTAGTAGTACCTGTAGATGTCAGGGATATTACTGTTGTTGTAGTTACCATCATCATGAGGCCTTCTGCCATTAATATAACAGTTATTTTATCGAAGGACTTAAAAATGACAAAATAAATATACAAATAAGATATTGTACTGCCTCGAACGAAACAGTTTACTACATACGCCGTAAAATATTTGTTCTGTAAACAGCCGTGTTTCTTTCCTTCATCTTATTTCCATTTGACTTAAGTCATTCAGAGCAATGAGGTTGATCGTACTGAGCGATGTTGCGTCATTTGTCCGCGTTTCCGTTTAACATGCATTCGATTTTGTTTGGAATATTTCTTGATAACGACCCAAGCGGAGGGTATCCTGTTCATTATGAAACTCTTTATCAGCAAAATATCGAAATGGGAATCCTGACCGTACGCCGACATGCCCTTTCTGGTTTGAGATCCAGCCTAAGACTGAATAGTCTCTGTCGTTGCAGATTCTGACTATTGTACGATGGTAAGGGACATTCCACCGTACGACTCCGGCCGTCGATTGCTTGACCTCATGGACATGGCCGTGTTCGACTTTCTGACGGGTAACATGGACCGACATCACTACGAGACGTTTCGGGTCTTCGGCAACGACACCTTCCCTCTGCACCTGGATCATGGCCGTGGTTTCGGAAAACCTTTCCAGGATGAGTTGTCCATCCTGGCGCCAGTACTTCAGTGCTGCCTCATGCGGCAGACCACCCTTACTACTCTTCTCAGGTCAGTTTGGAGATTACACGAGTTAAATTTATTTTGAACGTGTAATTAGCGATTTATTTGACTGTGGTAACTTCGAGTCCAGCTGAGACAAGTGGCCGGTAATCCATTTCCAATATTGAACAAACAAAATTATGTCCTTGAAAACGCATCATTTGTTCGGTTTTGGAAGTAATCGAAAATTCTGTGCTGTTATGTTCGCTTTATAATCAGTTTTCATGTATTAATCTGAGTCGTTCCATAATTTAATTTCATCTCTGTTATTTTAAGTCCGCGACATATCCTGTAACCCAGGGCAGGTTTCAGTGAACGTCTCTGCCCTTATTTTAAGTTTAAAAACGTAACTGCTTTCGAAAATAACGTTCAACGTTAAACACATCCTATATTTCTGAGAACGACATCATGATTGTTACATAAACAATTCCCAAAGGAAGAACGAATACAAATAAACTGAGGCAAACCATGGGCATATCGAAGTGACCGGAATCAAGTGTTGCAACTGGGCACTGAAAATTGGAATTTCCCTATCATACCAACCAGTGTTGCCACTGGGCACTTAAAATTGGAATTTCCCTATCATACCAACAAAATATTTGCTATTAATCTTCGTGTTGCCCGACTCTTGGTGCAGCCTGTAGTGCAGACTATTCCGTCGGATGAACACGAGGAAAGACACACACACACAGAAGAGAGGACTGTCGAATTTGAATATGTCTAATAGCCTATATACTATATTCAGCGGGAAAATAAATTACACGCTCTTGTCTGTGTGTAGTTCCTCTCTTGATATGAGCTATATAAGCTTAACAAAGGCTTCTGTGCAAGCAATACAATACAACGTCGACGGTGCGCAAAAGCGAGCTATGGTACCTAAGACATAGGACGATGATTTGAAATAATATAATCAATAAACCTTAAAATTTTGAGTGATTTGTTAAACGGTATTAAAATCTGAAATGTGTAACTTCTGATGGAACACTGTGATTTTGGAAGAACATTAAGCACTGAGGATCGTCAGTGCCTGAATATAAACGCTCGTAAGCGACGTCCCGCTGTGGAAACCTGCCCGTCGGAATTACAGTTTTTTTCTTACGAGCGCAGACCTGGAGAAGCCGGGTAAACCCATTTCTGTTCACGGTTGCGCTATCTAGAAAACTCGATGTAATAATTCCATTACAATATTGCTTGTCGGATTTATCAACAAATTTATATAAATAACGCAATATATCGCTACTTCGTACACGCGAGATGTGGTATTTCTACCCTCAAGACAGACAGTTCGTACTTCTTACCTTCTTTGTTGAAGCAATTGATAGGTTTCATTTTAAAATACGAGGATCACTGACTTTCTAACCATAATCGTTACCCTAGCAATTGTGTTGTTACGAGATAATCTGTTTTCTTTTGCGACTGTTTTGGGGGGGGCCTTGAAATTTCAGGGCAACGAATGAAGTTCTCGAGACTTCACTGTTTATTGTCTCACACGAGATTACAGGGAACGCAGATGCCTGATAAACGGCATATATCTTCCTTGAAAAAGGATGGCGCATTTAGAACAGGGCAATATATCTACGTTTCATTTCAGGTTAACAGGCCCCCAGCCGTCCAAAGTTCGCTCAAACTAAGTACGTGCCACTTCGCACTAATAAAACATTCAGCTATAATAATTTAACTTTATTTTCTACTTTCATTGCTTTTTTTTTTCAAAGAGATGCCGAGGATAAAAATACTTTAGGCGCTACATAATCTAATTATGCTTGTAAACACGCTACTGTGTATACATCTGATATTAGTGCGATAATCTCTGAGTAATGGGTCGATTTTATTAGCTTGTGTTGCGTGTGATACTTTCTGATCCTTGATTGAAATTAATACTTGAGACTTCATTACACAGAATGTACAAAGGCTGCAGTCACATGCTACAGTATTTATATTTTTATTTATTTAGTGTTCTGTCTGACGACAGGTCCATATGAACAGGATCCTTCCATCCTTTTCTCGGACTGGGACCTGTTCATATACGTTCTTGGCAGATGATCCAGAAGTGGTTTGCCATTGCCTTCTTCTGTGTGTGAATGGAGTAATTGTTGGGATGCCACGGAGAAACCGGGGAAGCCCCCGGAGGAACCCTCCGTGTTGCCTAGACCACGGCCCTGCCCAACACAAGTTATAAATTCGGGTACCGCCGGGAATCGAACCCGAGACCCCCAGGATTACAAGGCCAGCGTCCTTGTGCATTACACTATTCCAACCTCACCCAAGAAACTCGATTCAAGGTCACCCTTGTTGCTAGGCCGCTACTCACACCTGTTGCGCAGAAGCTGTGTATTTGCGAATTAACGAGCAGAACGTTTGTTAATTAACGAACGTTACTTGGTTTCGAAACCGCTTCCTGGTTTATATTATCTGTTCTGGTTGGTATAATTCGCTACGATCCTACGTTTTATTAAAATCTGAGTACACAGGTATCTCATTTTGTGTCTGTGATTTGCAACTGTGCTTATTTTAATATTTTTCCGTCTACGCCAAGTTCTAGTAAGTGAGTATTTCCGTTTACGACCGAAATGTGTCATCTCGTCCCCCTTTTTATATGATCCGTTGTATAACGAAAGGAATAATTTTATAGATTTTAGTAAAGTTTCTTTTCAAATATTTCTATATAGTGTATAAGAGAGACGTTTTAGAGCAATATGGATTAAGGCAGGTGCTTTAGTGGGAATATTAAACGATGTTTTCCTTCATCGTAATTGATACCAAAACTAAAAAAAGCAAAGGAAACTCTTTTCAGCTTGTAATTATTCCACGTACATATCCGGTTTCATAATTTAATGATGTTATTATGAACACTTCGTGTGTAATGAGTATATCTGCCGTGTAATCAAGTGACTTGTATGTTTTACACAGTCTGGGTCGATTTCATTTTCTAAAGGAATTCCATTAAGTTTTATTTTTGACTTATTTTCGCTACTGAGTGAGCAGAAAGATACGATGTCTATACATCACGCGGTTTACGAATTAATCTCTTGTTTGACGTAAGCGTGCGTGAGAAAATCGCCATCTTGTTTCTCTTTTTCCTTTTTTTGTATTATTTCTTATTACGCGAGAATTTTGCCATGTGTTTCTCCCCCTAAAAATACGTCTTTGTTCTACAACCACTCTACCTCACTCCTCTATAAAAGAGTTGTATTTCTTTGCATGCAACGACAATGTTTGTAGAATGTAAAAAGGAACATAGGACTATAATCCATTATCTACATTCTGCCACGATACTGGTAGCTGAAATTAGGGTAAAAGAGAGGAAATAACACATAAAATCTTTTACGTCGGATAATAAATTATGTATCTAACAACACGAAATCTTAATTTTATAAAATAAAAGCAATTCGCTACTGTGCTTTATCTGCGACTACTAAAATTCACAGAATTCGTGTCTATGATTCTACGACAACCTTAGCACATTCTCCATAAGCAGATGTATTCTGTCCGTTTTGATTATTCCGGTTCAAACGCCAACTCGGAGTTTATCGGTAGACCGATTTTTGAATACGGCCCGTGGCATTGAAATATTTTCTTTTCTACCATACAACGGTAACCAATCTCAATTTGTGTGAAATGAAGATCATAAAGTGAGAAATATTTACCAAATTTTTCCACGACGCACCAAATTTTCACAACATAAAAAAATCAATTTCTCCCGGGATTGTCTCCAACTTCAGTGACTTTATTTCTTCGTGAATGTAAGTTTGAATCGAAAATAAATAAATAACTAATATATTCCATGACTTTCATTGTTGTTACAAAAATAAACTAAGATTTATTTTCAAGAAAAAATATCAGATATATATGTATCACTAAGTTAACGTTAACCTCTGAACCCGAAAGTCGTAAAGATAATATTAACAATCAAGTCCGTACCGCAAAGAGAGCAAATTCTTCTCCATTACGAAGATAAAATTTGTTAATGCTGTTTAAGAATATAATCATTACTTAGAGTGGAAATCTCACGAAACATGTAAATACACCATGATGAGTAATTGATTATTGAAGCAGATGGGACGTATTGTTACCATTGGACTTTAAAGGTGAACGTGTGTCAGAACAAGGATTTTAAACCAACACCACATTTTAACTTAATTATAAGAGTTGTTATAAAATGTTAAGAAATCCATTATACTCTCAGCTAGTGAAGGAATTCGCGCTTTTTACGAAACCTGAATATTTATTGCCGTGTTCACAAACGCCCACCACCTGTCGCTGTCTTAAGCCATATTAATCCAATCCACCACCCTCAACCCCCTTTTCCCAAAGCTCCATTTTAATATTATCTTTTCACCTACGCTTAGGTCTTCCGAATGGTCTTTTCCCTTCAGACCTTTGAATAAATTGTTCTAATCATTTCTCAGCTTTCCGTCGCCTCTAGTTGTGGAAGTTGTCATTTATTTACAGTAAATAACTTTGAAAATAGTTTATAAATGCATACAGATTAGCTCAGAGGGCTCAACAGCCTCTGTGAACGCGGCAGTGAACCGTTTGTGTCCTCAGTGGAGTCAGTCAAGTGACAAAATAAGATTATCTTTCAGTAATCTTTAATTTAACTTATCAGTAAAACGATGGCCACGGTGGTCTAGCGGTTAGAACGCTGGCCTTGTAATCCTGGGGTCTCGGGTTCGATTCCCGGCGGTGCCCGAATTTATAACTTGTGTTGGGCAAAGGCCGTGGTCTAGGCAACACGGAGTTTTCCTCCGGGGGCTTCCCCGATTTCTCCGTGGCATCCCAACAATTACTCCATTCACACACAGAAGAAGACAATGGCAAACCACTTCTGGATCATCTGCCAAGAACGTATATGAACAGGTCCCAGTCCGAGAAGAGAAAAGGATGGAAGGATCCTGTTCATATGGACCTGTCCTGAGACAGAACACTAAATAAAATAAATAAATAATAAAATCAGTTAAACGAGATTCCCAATTTTGCGTAACGTTAAACCATATTGCCGGTATGTTAGCCTACGGGGTCTCTCCCTGGCTCGTACTGACGTGTGACGTCACGCATCCACGCTACCGATGACACACACACATCTGTATGAACCAGTTTTGCACAAAACTTGGAGGGGGGGACAAATTCACGAATGCGACACATAAGATGAATGTGAATTTCGCATGTTTCTGTTTTCAGTTCTAGCTCCGTATATTCCGGTGTGAATTATGTGAGTAAACACATTCTGGTTATCGCAGAACGTCTTTCAGAGAAGGGTTGAACCAAAGAATTACCCCGTCTATTATAAGCATAGAAATCGGTTAAAGGATTCAGTGAGGACTTGGCTTTTACCTTTTGTTGTTTTGCAGAGATGGCTTCAGATTCTTCCATTCATTTGACCGCAAAGCAACTACGTAAAGTCTGTCGATCCTTTTATATCTTAGAAGATCCATTACTCTTCTCCCAGCCACTGGGCTTTTGTGTGGCGTTGCTTTGGAATCACGCCTTCAGTGCTTACCCTCCGGCAGGCAATCTAAAAAAGACAAAAGGAGGATAAATTGGACGTAGCGAGACACGAAAAGGAAGAAAATATGATGACTTATATGTAACATCTATATTACAACCAACCGAATCCAAGAACGAGCAAGTGAAATATATTGTGCGCATGAAACATTTATATGGTAGGGGATTCGAACACAATTTGAGAGAAAATATATTCAGAATTCAACTGTGACTTGAATAAAATGTACGTATGTCAGATTCAGCCACGGTGTGGTCTAACGGTTAGAACGCTGGGGTCCCGGGTTCGATTCCCGGCGGTGCCCGAATTTATAACTTGTGTTGGGCAAGGCCGTGGTCTAGGCATCACGGAGTTTTCCTCCGGGGGCTTCCCCGGTTTCTCCGTGGCATCCCATTCACACACAGAAGAAGGCAATGGCAAACCACTTCTGGATCATCTGCCAAGAACGCATATGAACAGGTCCCAGTCCGAGAAAAGGATGGAAGGATCCTGTTCATATGGACCTGTCGTCAGACAGAACACTAATAATAATAATAAATGTCAGATCCAGGAATCTTAAAATAATGGAGCAGCAGAAATGCTGGTCCATCAAGTCAGAGAATGAATTTGATATATTAATTGATTCGATGTTTAACTGTTAACGCCTAATGGTAATTATATATACCACCTGTTTTAACAATAAATGAGCCTGCATTTTTACTTATGATTTTCGTAAGCTGTAAGCTGCGATTATTTCCTTAAACAGCGTTAACCAATTGACCCTTATTAGTTATGCAACGTATAACTGTATCCATCCGCGTAGCGCATTGATCCAGTATTTTATCTCATTATCAGGAGACCAAATTATTGGTCAACTAGTTTCTCAATAAACACAAAAATCATCGTGACAGTGAATTTATTTGTAGAATATAAAATGTTCATTTCACTTTAACTATCAGTGTTACTTGAAATTTCGAAAAACTAAAGAAAACCACGTACTAAGTATATAAACGAAAGTGAGATAGGTATTTTTGGGGGTTTTAAGCGGCAATTTTATCACAAACCACTGAACCCTTGAACCTTCGGTATGAAACGCACCTGGAATAATAATTCATTTGTACATGAACGAACAGACAAAGAAAGGCACATATTACTGTAAAACTTCCTTCGAATTTAACTTTATAACGTCTGCAGAGCTGATAGTTGCTAAGCCACTCAAGACAGTCTTCGTCTTTCATTGCCATTAACACAATATCCCGTCACTGTACCCCTTCCCCGAGCCAACTGAACCCAATCCACGCCCTACAGCCTGCACTCTGTATTTCCTTAAAATCCATCTAATCTTAGGTCTCCCAAGTAGCATAATCCCTTCAGGTTTTCAAACTAAAATTGTTGTGCATTTCTAAACTCCTGCATGCATGCTACGTGTGCTACTCATCTCACCCTCCCTAATTTCTTCACTCTAATAATATTTTATGAAACGTAAACATTATGAAACTCTTCATTGCGTCATTTTCGCTTAGGTTTAAATGTTTTCCTCAGTACTTTGTTCCAACAAACCCTCAGAGACCACAGAATATCGCAAAATCAAATATAATCCGGGTCACCGCTGCCCTTATCGAAAAATAACAAGGGTCTTGATACGTTGCGATTGAGAAATTTTAAGGGTAAATTCAATATCGTCCAAAACCTCGAATAAAATGAAATGTCACATTTCCTTTCATGGTGAGAGACTGCTAGTGACCGCAGATTTAACGCTGAGTGAGTGTATATGGAAATCACAAGTTTATACATAAACCAACACATGGAATATCTTGAAATCCCCCCCCACCCCATTCCGATATTGGCGCCACCATGTGTTTTCTCGGTCGTCTGATTTGATAGAGCAGTTCAGAGGCTGGTGCATTCTGACACTAGTGGATGGACAAACAGGGATTTGAAAGGGTTTTTCTGTTACAAACATCTTTCCCTTCCTCATTCTTCTATTCTTCTTTTAGATTCGTCCTGACTATTTTTCCTTCGATTGTCGGAGTGAAGTACATAGCGCCTACCAACCTTTCTAAAACAAATTGCCCTAGTACGAGGTGCGATCGGAAAGTTTACAGACTGTGTCAATAGAGGGCGAACCGGATGTAGTACGAGCTTCTGCCGCTAGGGGGTGCGGCCTACATTCATAGTGAATCAGTGTGCCAGCCGGCATCATCGAATTAGCATTTGTTTCTTAGTTACAGGCGTTTTGGTAGTGCATTACACCGACCCTCCTGCGATTTCGGAATGGCGGATTTTCATGAACAAAGAGTGTGCATCAAATTTTGCCAAAGACTCGCCAAAACGGCTACGGAAACCTATGAAATGCTAAAGCAAGCAGTTGGGGAG